GCATTTTGGGGTTTAGGGGTTTAGGGTTTAGGGTTTAGGGCTTTAGGGTTTAGGGGTTTGGGGTTTAGGGGTCTAGGGGTTTAGGGCTTTAGGGCTTTAGGGTTTAAGGTTTAGGGGTTTAGGGTTACGGAGCCTTAGTGACTAGAATAAGGTCTTGGTGTAATTATGATATGCAACTTTTTGTTAATCGTTCAAAGTTGGAGGGACTTGAGTTCAGTTCGGGGGTTAGGTTCCAAGCATTGAGGATCGAGGGGCTTTTCCAGCGTCTAGAGTAGATCCGATGCACCTTCGACTCCCTTCCTGAAGGCAGGTTTGAGCTTATACACCTACTATATACCCTGTATGTGCACTTAAGAGTCCCTAGAAAGGCCTGAGGGCCCATATTCTTCTAACCTTAGAGCCAAGGTGCATGTAGGTGTCCCCTAGCTGCGAGGAACTGCGCGAGATGTCATGAGCTTCGAAGCCTTCCCACAGGAGAAGTTGAGGCCCACAGCAACCGTGCTTTCTGCTCTTTGTTTGTGAGACCTTTCTCCCACTGTAGTAAGACATTGCCGCCTGAACATTTAACGTGTGGCTTTAGAAACGGAGAACTTCCTCTTCGTCTGGAGTGCCAGGTTCTAAACCATCAGACTGCGGTTGCGAGGTCTGTTGTTGAATAATGGGGTTCAGGGTATTAGGGTTTAGGGTTTAGGGTTTAGGGTTTAGGGTTTAGGGTAATGACTTGAAACAAACCCTAGGCCCTAAACCCTAAAATTTTTCATCGCCCTATGTACAATCCCCGAACCTTGTAATGCAGCCTCAACCCACCCCTTCTCTCTATCCACCCCAATACCATACTGCCCAAACCACATAATCCCAACAACAAGAACAACAACCACCACCATACATATCTTTACCTTCTCAAATACAATAACCCGAAACCCACCCTGTGTAAAAAATGACTCAAAGCACTTGCAAAGCTGAAGCCCTCATTATGGAACCCTCGCAAACAAGCCTAGATGATATCGAAAACGTAAGTTGAATACTGCCCCAAATCCCAACCCTAAACCCAACACCCTGAAACCCTAACCCTCCGCTCCATAGCCCCAAAAGCCCTAACCCCATTTGGGTAGTTCTCTAAATTAGGGTCCCTTATAAGGTCCCTTTTATATGGGTGCCGTACTATATTGGGGACCTAAAAAGGCGGGGGAGCCTAATTTAGAAAACTACCCTTCTACTAATGAAGGCCACCATATTATGCATCTAAGTCAAGTTACTAGACCCTAAACCCTTAAACCCTCAACCCCCAAAAAGCCCTAACCCCATTTGCACCTTCAAGTGCAAGGTCGGGTTTACGTGCAGACCAGTGGGTGCCTCAACCGTCCGAGCTCGAGTTGAATGCAGAGGATGTGGCTTTCGGGTTCAAGGGTTTTGGGGGTTTTAGGGTTTAGGGGTTTAGGGTTTAGGGGTTTTAGGGTTTTAGGGTTTAGGGGGTGTTCGATTGCAGGATTGCGATAGGTTTTCTGGGGTTTGGTGTCTTTCAGACGGTCTTCTGTTGGCTTTAGAAGGGGTTCATACGGGGTTGCAGCGGCTTCGCGAATCTACATTGAGGGTTTTGAGAGTTTTGCCCTAAACCCTAACCCCCTAAACCCCTAAACCCCTAAACCCTAAGCCCAGTGTGTAGCTTCTGTCGTCATGGCCCCGGGTTTCGTTTGCTCTTGTAAGTCTAGACAGCTGAGACTCCTATCTCATCCCATCCCCCCAGAGACTCCAATATTTTAGGGGTTTAGGGTTTAGGGATACCCAGAGATTCCAATATCCCTTAATTAGGGAATAGATCTTAGAATCATATTAGGGTTCCTATTAGAAATTTAAGGTATATTCCTGAAATCTTACTAGGGTTCCCATTATAATTTAAGGTATATTCCTGAATTAAGGGGTTTTGGAGTCTCTGGGTACCTCCTACCCTCAAAGACAGTACGGCTTCTTTGGTTGCGATGCTGCTGTGACTGGGTCTGGTGGTGAGAGTGACTACGACAAAGATGCGACAAGAATGAGGGTTTAGAGTTTAGGGTTCAGGGTTCAGGGTTTAGGGTTTAGGGTTTAGGGATTGGGGCGAAGATGTCCATAGCAGACGGTCACTAGGCTGCAGTCCAGCTTGGTCTTTGACTTTCTGGCCCTCAGGACCTGAACCCCGGAGCCGCAAAGCCTTAGTCTCCGACACTCCTCCACCCTGAAACCCTAAACCCTAAACGGCCTAAAACCCTGAGCCTTAAAAACCCTGAACCCTAAACCCTAAACCCTAAACGGCCTAAAACCCTGAGCCTTAAAGACCCTGAACCCTAAACCCTAAACGGCCTGAAACAATGAACCTTAAAAACCCTGAACCAGGTCTCCTCACGCAGCCCGGTCATGCTCCTGGAGGCTGCCAAGAGTCGCGGGTTTACGATTCAGAGCAGGCCGAAGCCGGTGTGTTTAGGGTTTAGGGTTTTTAGGGTTTAGGGTTTTTAGGGTTTTTAGGGTTTAGGGTTTTGAGGGTTTAGGGTTTTAGGGCTTAGGGTTCAGGGTTTAGGGCTTTTAGGGTTTCGGGGTTTGGGTTTTGGGTTTCATCGCCCCCCAAAAGCCAGAGCCCAGATCCTGGAAACGCACTGCCAGCTACAGCCCCCGAGCCTGGCCCCAAAGCTTTCCCTTCCTTTTTCTATTTAGGGTTTAGGGTTTAAGGTTCAGGGTTTAGGGTTTAGGGTTTAGGTTTCCTTTTCTATAGTAGAAGCCCAAAAGTTGGATTTAACATATATTCCTTCAGTCCCTTAAACCCTAAGCCCTTACAGAGCCCTTTAAGGAGCCCCTTAAGGTATAGGGTATAGTAGAAGCCCAAGAGTTGGAAAGCCAATAATACCCTCAATCCTTAAGAGGAGTGTATATGGAATCCCAGCACGATTTGTCCTTAGTCCGGTTTCCAACTTTCGGGGGTTTGCTGTATATAGATACTGACCATAACACTATGGGTCGTCACCTTCCCAAAAGCGTGCAACGGCCACACGAAGCCCCTACAGGGATTTTATGAGGGTTCTAGAAGAGTATCGGTATATCACTGTTTTGAAGGTGGAGTCCGACAACACTGCATATAGTCTTCTGTAGGGTTCCACAATATCGAAAATCTGGGATAACATACCCCCAAAAAACGTTATTCGATTTTCAGGCCCCTCTGCCACAAGCCCAACAAACCCTGCAGGAAAAGAATAGACACCGGAACAGTAGCTAAGCTTTCATCCGCAAGGCTCAAAACACTGCGAAGCCTGTAAACCTAAACACTCAGCCCAATGCACTGCCTAAACCATGGCGAAACCCTTATGCATTCCTCCTGAATGCCCTTAACAACCGCCTGAGATTGTATGAAAACCTAGAGATTTCCCGCAAAACCCTTCATCATTGTAAAACGTCAAGGGTTTAGGGTTTGGGGTTTAGGGTTTAGGGTCTAGCCGTCATGAACAACTCCCAAGCCAGATTCCACCGCCCTGCACTGTAAACTCACACCATTACCCCAAACCCCAAAACCCTGCACCCAAAATTCCAAACCCTGCATGAGTAGTTCTCTAAATCAGGGTCCCTTTTTTAGAGCCCCAATGTAGTACGGCACCCTTATAAAAGGGACCCCCAACAGGGACCCAATTTAGAGAACTCCCTAAGCCCTAAACCCTAAACCCTAAACCCTAAACCCTAAACCCTATAAACTCTAAAACCCTAAACCCTAAACCCTAAACCACTACCCACATCCTAAACCCCACAGTCCGACAGTCAGGCGGGAGCAGCCGCTGGACAGAAGGAGAACGGCAAGATCAGCAACCACGCGCAGCTCAAGTCTGGGGCTCAGAAAGATCCGGGTTTTGGGTTTTAGGGTTTCAGGTTTAGGGTTTAGGGTTTTGGGGCTTTGGGGTTTTATTTTTGTTCGGGCCTGAGGCTTCTAAGGCCTTTAACAGTTCTTGTTTAAGGTTGCTGTACGTAGCGGCCTTTATATTCGGTCTTGAGATTCAGTGCTGGGGCCTTAATATAGGGGCCTCAATGATTACCTATATTATTTCGGGGTTCCTTACTATGATTATAGTATAATGGGCCCCTATTACCGATATTATTTTGGGTGGTTCCTTACTATAATTGTAAAACCCTATTGTAATTATTAAGGCCCCTACATTACGGCTTGCATTCCGGCCTAAGAGCCAGATTCTACCGATGCTTCCTCAGGTCCGGGTTTAGGGTTTAGGGTTTAGGGTTTAGCCTCAGGTCCGAAAGAAGGTTCCCCACATACCCGCTTCCATCACAGCCCACCGGGCCCGATTTACCAGTGACGAGCACACCAACGACCAACGCTTCACGGAGGACTGTTTGCATGCGCAAAGTTATTGCAGGTGTTTGTTTTCACACAAGTATAAAACTCACAAGCTAGCAGAGGAAACGTTCGAAATACAGAAACGCTTGCTGGCTTTGTATTACAAGAGCGAGCTAGTATGTTGAGGCTAACTGCAACGTAGAGTGGAGAGTTCTTCTTCCCCATCATGCCCAAACATTATTTACGAGTTGAGGATACTGTTTCGGTCCGTAGATGCGTGAACTATCCCATGTTTCTTCTGCACGTGAAGCCAAAAATATTGGCTCAAAAAGGGAGAAACTTGGACCCTGCACTCAGCCACGGAATAAGATCCGTTGCTGATGTCTTGTCTTGCGCTGAGGATGTTTGCCGCTGCCATTGGCTGGGCTCTGCGACCAGTGTCCGTTGCCGCCGAGCCAGCCAGAGATATCTGGTCATTGACGTTGACGGGCTATGAGTGCCATGGAGACACCGCCACAGTGCTTGTCGAGCAAATGGGCTATGGTGAGTTATGGAGTGGCTGCTCCGGGTGTACAGACTATTTCCACAGCAAGCATGATCGAGACAGCATTAAAGACGGCCGCGTGATTGTGGGCTGGTTGCATAAGTTCACGCTGAGACCGACTGGTGCGTCTCGTGGTCAGCGCAACTATAAGATTGGAGTTGGGGCCTTGGGGGAACGGAACCGCAAATTCTGGGTCGGGAAGACCTTCGACTGCCTGGTCCAAGAGGAGTTGTAGGCTGAGAGCAGTCATGCTGCTTGAGCCCGCTTCTATCCGTAGTCGCAAGCTCGTTTTTTTGAATGCGTTTAGGCGTTGCAGTGGTACTTGCCGCCTTCTCTAAAGGATCCGTGTCAACATGCCGTGTTGAAAGAGCCCGGCGCAGAGCATGGGGTGGCTTACCTTGCGCTGTAGTGGGGCAGCAGAGGTTGGTAGGGTTGCACTTATATTCAGCCTTTTTGAAGGCTAATCGGTGTTGACAACAGCAGAAACACCGGCAATGAACTGCAAACCAGGACACAGCTTTACCGATCTTCCCGAGCAGTACCATCTGCCGCAACAAGCCTCAGAGATCGCATTCCTCAGCGAAGCCGCAGCCGCGACACTACCGGCTTTAGGCGTTGGGGGTGTATGTGCAGTGACAGGCCCTTAAGCCTCAAGAGCCAGCAGTAAACCCCTTAAGTCCTTGAGTCTTCTTACATGAAGTATCCGAACAATCACCCGAAAGCCTTTCACTAATAGATAAGGACTCTGGTGTTGCTTTGTTCGTAACATTGACAGTGCCTGATATAGGAGCCCAAAGTCAGGGAGCCGAACGCACACCCTAAGTAGTAGGATCCTGCGTATGAAGACACCATAATAGCGAACCTTGATTCTGCACCGAACCCATGCGTATCCTGAATCGAAGATCCAAGCATCCAAAACCCCAATTTCACGATACGTGCGCCCAGGTGGATACAGATTTTTCAGAGGCAGCGCATCATGACCGTTCTGTGCGGCGACCTCGGCAAAGGGTAGGGGGACATTGACGGTAGGGCTATGTATGGCGCATTCCACGTTTTGTTTCTTGCCTGGTGGGAAGGGTTCAGGTGTTTCGGTTCTATTAGGGGGTTTTGGGCACAGAGACTCAGGATTCGGGCTCGGCGCTTGCAAGTTTAGGGCTCAGGCTTTCGTTGAAGGATCTTTGCCTTCTAACCTTTCGAATGCCAAAAACAGCAGAAGCTGTCCGAGCGCCCTTTTTCGCAAAAGCCGCTGAGCCCTAAACCTCAACTCAAACACTTCAATACCCTGTACAAACGGCATTTAGTTCTTGATTCACCTTCAAATTAAAGCGGTGTATTCCTTAACTAGTAAAGGTGCATGTGGCCCTCTGGGAAGTTAGCTGTAGAGTTCCAGTGGATCGCCAAGCAGTTCCTGCAACGACCTCCAACAAGGATGAAGCTTCCTGTGGTCCTAGTTCTCTTGTAGGGTTCATGAGTTTAGGGGCTACCGAGCAGTTTCTCAAAGCCGTGTTGCAAAAAATCTGTATGCATCGGGGGGGGGGGGGGCATAGTGACGCCCAGAAGCCGTAAACCACTTGCAGGTGAACCTGACCCTGCACTGTCCTGACACAGGGAACCGCAGAATACGCCTTGAACCCAACAACTCCCAACTCTATTTCATCCGCATCGCCCTAAACCACAAACCCAGAATCCTTGAACCCCCAAAGCCCTTAAAAGCCAAAGCAAGAAACCCCTAAAAAGCAAAGCCCTCTTTTAGTCCAGCCTTTAAACAGCCCTTCAGGACACCCTGTAAAACTCAGACCCCGATCCTATCCGAACCCCTGAAGCCGAGAACCCAAGGGGTACTGGGCTCTCTGGGGAAC